AATATTTACACTTTTAATAAAAATTAATTATTAGAATATAAATTTATTACACCATAACCTGTGCACTAAGGTTACAGAATAAAAAAAATCTTTAAGAAAAGGGATTAAACTACTCAGCTTCACGAGTTTAATAATTTATATACTTAAATAAAAATTTAACACAGATTGAGGTACTTACCGTAAGATTTTCGCATAAAAAATAAAAAAAGGGGAATTACGAGAAGTGGAGAGATTGTGGAAATCAGAGTAAGAATCGCGTGAAGGAGTTGATTGGGACCTCCTGACTTCAGTTATGAGGTGGGGCCGAGGCCCCGTGTAGGTTAGAGCCCAAAGCTACAATCTTAGATTAGATGAAGCTAAACTAATTTAAAATCGAATTGCGCTTGATTTTATTAACGGTCGAACTTTTTTGATGCTAATTTTTTTATTTAGAAGATTCAAAATTAAGATTATTTTTAAAATAAATCAAATTCATTTCACTTGAATTAACAAATCGAGATTGGTTTTGCTAATCTTAAGACATATTGACTTGAAATGCAATTTTTTTTGTCAAAAAGTTAGTGACAATGGAAAAGAAATCAAGATTTAACATTGTAAATGAAAGAATGTTTAATTTTAGTCATAATATAAGTATAATATAATTGAGATTTCATGTGAATTTTATTTATCATATAATTGGAATTGGACTTTTTTTAATGTTAGTGTGTTTGAATTTTCACTTTTATGTTTTTAAATTGGGATTATTTTTTTTATAAGAACATCTTATTTAATTTTTATATATATTTAATAAAAAGTTGATATTAATGTACTAAAAAAAAAAAGAAGTTGATATTGTACACTTTATTATAAAAAAATTACTGCGTGACTGCCAATAAAAGGGAAATTGAGAGAAATTTTTTTGGAGTTGTTAAGAAAGGGAGGGTAAAATGTCAATTTTATAAGTAAATATCACAATATGTTTGAGCTTCCTAAGCAAAGGGAAAAAACTTCCCAAAAACCAAACTTAATTAGCTTTTAATGAAAATCAAATGATGTTTTTGGCCTAATTTTATCTTTTGTAAAAGCATTGTTTAAATTTAGAATTTTATGTAACTGTTAAACCATGAATTTATAAGAAAAAAATTCGGAAGTTCGGTGTAGTAGTAAATAAAACGTTAAATTATCTAAACTGTAAATTTGTTTTTTCAGTTTATAAGTTTTTAGAAATTAAAATCATTATTTTAAAAAATAAAATAAAATAAAACAACTTTCTTTAGAAAAGTTGTGCTCTACTTTATGTCCTTGTCCCATTACCTATTTTCCAAAAACACTTCCTTGTCACTCCCAGTCTCATAGACTTTTCCCATTTAAAAAAAAAAATTAAATTTTCACATATCATTTAGAAAATTTATTTTATCTTCTTACAATAAAAATTACTTTCTCCCTTCATTTTTAATAATTTTATTTTAATTTGTTTGATTTTTAGACATAAATTAAAAAAAAAAGTTTAACAATTTACATAAACAGTAATTTAAAATTTTTTTTCTTATATGAAGTTTTTATCAAATATTTTTATTTGATACAAATATTTTCAATTATTATTTATATAATAGGTTAAATTTTTAGTTAAAATATATTTTTAAAAAGTTAAAAAATAAAAAATCTAATTAAACTATAAATATTATGATAATGTAAATTAGTAGCTGAAACAGAATTTTAGTTATTCAAATTTTAGCAACAAAAAAAAAAAAAAAACCTAGTAATATTACCACTAAACGAGTTTTAATGGTTTAGATGTTGGGGTGCTAACCACTATTAGCAATTTTCCAATAATTAAACCAAAAAAATCTTAATTTCTCTCAATCAAGCAGAATGAATCTCTATATATGTATATATATATATATATATATATATAACATTACATACTAAAATATATTCCAATCAACCTCTAAGAGAAGAAGAAATCTTGCTACTTTTTAGAAAACGTTACGTTTGATTGTTCAAAAATTTATTTTCTCAATAAATTAATAGATATTTCGATATCATATATTTTTTTTTATTTAAAAAATCAATCTTACCCAATTAATTAAACAAAACAACCGAAAATTTGCGCAATGTCATACTCTGAGTGCAGATGATCATAACAAGATTTATGGGAGTAGAATAAAGTTGAGAGAAACACGTATAGGAGGGTTTGCGTACAAGAATTTTCCATTTTCCTTTGGATTGAAAACTTAATGTCACCTCCATGCATTTATGTAACCAATAACATCAAACTACTTTCTCCCCTTTGGTATTAATACCTATTTATTTATGTTGTGCGGTTCGGCAGTCTAAATCCACAAAACTTTGGGAAGCCGACTAGACTTGAGAAATAGAGACATACTCATCACATCAATAATCAATTAGCATTTCGTTTGTATCAAGTTTTTCTTCAGAAAACAACTACAAATCTGTTTTTGCAGAAGTGAAAGAATTTATGGGGAATGGCCCAACATTTAATTCGGGTTTTGTGTAGTAGGCCCAATTATTTATTTAGATGCCTTTGACTATCTCAAACGAGGACACGTTCATACCATAAGTCAGACATACCCATGTGGATGGTAAAATATGGATAGTGGCACATGTGTCTTATGTCATCATATGAGATTTAAGAATATTCTTACCAACCTACACTCAAGATATAAACTCTATTATGTTTCTTTTTTTGTGATTTCTTTATAAAGAGTGTCTTTCTTTAAAATATTGAGTATTAATAACTTAAGCATCAAAGTATTTTTTTCTAAAAAAGATCCTGTAATTTTTCAGGTGTTAAAAGCAACCGAACATGTCTACGTACAGTGAAGGTTTGTGAAGCTGCCTAAATAGAATAGAAATTTAAAACCATTACATGGGACTGAAAGGGAAGTCTAACAACCCAATTGGCTTTCATGAGGCCAAGTGATGTTGTCAGAGAAAAATGATGCGTCTTCGTCAACAGAGTTCGGCCTGTATAATGAGGTATATATGATTTCATCTCAAACCTAATAAGAATTGTTTGTAGAACACCTTTCTCCAACCTCCATGTCCTTTTTTTTTTTTTCCTTTTTAACATAGTCAAAGTATTTTTTAATTAGTTTATAAGTATCTTAAAATTAATTTTTTTTAAACAATTTTAATTTTAATTTTAATATAGTTAAAGTATTTTAAAATTAATTTATATGTGTTTTAAAGTTAATCCCTTTAAAACAATTTTAATTTTTAAAAAACACCACTCACGTTATCATAATATATTTAAGAAAATTAAATCTTTGATTAGCAGTTAAAATACACATAATATTAAATAAAAACTTAAAAGAGGTATTTGCAGCTAATTAATAATTAATTATTATTATTATTTATAATTTAGAGTATTAAGCCGTTCAATTCTTCATGTTAAAAATTAATAACTGTTGTTAAAACTATAATAGAAACACCTAGATATTTCGATTGCTAATGGGGATTTTTATTTATAATTTATATATTTTTCTTCAGCAATTAAATCTCAAAAACTGACTTCCTTCTTAATCAGAGTGCATGGTGAGTGACCGTTGGGTTGTGAATCTTGTGATGCATGAGAGAATTAGACTCGAGAACGTGGGTTGTTGTTGTTAGGTGGAACTTGTGGTAGCTGTGAAGTCCTCTCCTCTTAGGCATTTTACCGAACACAACACTGCCAAAGCTATTGCTTACTTACGTCTTATTGTTAGTTCTTCATTCTCCTAATCAAATTTCCAACACCTCTGTCGATGCAAAACATGTGTGATTGATTGTTGTAATGATGTCTGAGAACTGTTCTTAGAGATTGGGACTTGGGATTTTCAGTTTGGGTTAAGAGAAAGTGATGGAGTTTCAGTTTCCGGTGGAATTAGAGGAGGAGTTAGAGCGGGAAGCGCATCCTCTGGCGTGGGCAATGAAAATGGGGGAAGGCATTGGTCCTCGTGGATTGGAGATGCCCAGCCCTGAGTTAGCGCAATTGATCGTTTCCCATCTCTGCTTCCGCCACAACCATCCTTCCCTGTGGAAGTTTCTCCACCATGCCATGTCTTCTGGCCTTCTCTCCCCAATCCATGTCCTCTCCCTGCTCACTTCCAGGTTTCCCCTTCTTTCATTTTTTTGAATTTAATCAAGCAGTTCCAATGGATAAGCTTTATTCATATTGAAAGATGATTTATAGTAACTACTAACTATTTCCTGTTGAGGCTTACCGAGCTTACTGTACCCAATTTGTGGCTTTTGTTCTTTTAGAGTGATTCCTCAACGACGGTCTCAACCAGAAGCCTATAGGCTGTATCTCGAGCTTCTTAGCAGATACGCGTTATCATTTGATGCATCTATGACAGATAGTTGTAAAGTGAAGTAAGTAACTACAAGGGTTGCTAGATTCGTTTGTAGTACAGTTGTATTGGTTGGTTGTCTGTTTAATCTCCATTTGTACCTCACTGTGTCTGTACACGCGTTTTTTTGTCTGTATGACATGAATGCACGTGGCATTTGTGGGTTTCAAGGGACCTAGTGATTAATCACCGTTGCTCTTGCTCTTCAGGATAATAGAATCTCTGGATGCTGAACTCCAGCTTTCTCAGACTTTTGGGGCTCAAGTGCTGGACCTTGGACACGCATTTGTTTTGTTCTTTTTCAGCATTGTCACTAGCTTAATTGACAGCTCATTGTATGATTGGGGATTCAGAATGACAACTGTAGACAAGCCAAGCAGAGCAGTTGCAAGCATGGATCACCAGCACATGGATGTAGACTCCAGTGGAAATTATCAAATGGAAAGGAATGAACACCGTCAGCAGATGAGGCAGAAGAATTCTTTTATGGCTATAGAGGTGTTAGAAAGATTGACAGAAAGCACAAAAGCTATTGTTCTACTTAGGCTTGTTTACCTGAACATGTATGCACAATTCTTCTTCATTCTTTGTGCCTCTAATTTCCAATCTCATGCGAACTTTTCATAATGCTTTTTCATGCAATTTTTGTAGTGCTAAAATCATTTACTTCTTCTGCTTACCTTACCCGGATGTTGCATTTGTTTATTATTAATCAAGGTCTGGAATCTATATATACAGAGTTAGAATTCTTAACATGAGAATATTTGGTTTCAATGTGTGCTATTCTTAATTACTAATGTTTCATAGCTTTGAAGAAACACCGCAGCCAGTATTGATAAATGATGGATGCTAAAATTACATTTCTTTGCCATTTGATTTTGGGTTAATGGAGTATTAGGACCATTGCTAGTAGAGTTGATTTGATATGTTTCCTAGTGCACACCATTTCATCAGGGATTAACAAAAGTTGATTGATTATTTTAATTATCTTCCTGCTTAAGAGTCGCTTGAATGAGTTCAGCATTTTAGCCTGTCTATGAGCCAGAATGGTAGATATTGTGAGATTTGGCATCTATGGAACAATTAAATGTCCACTCATTAAGCTGCTAATTGTGTTATGGAAGGCCATAAAAGGATTGCTGGAAACAGTTAATGACTGTTTTCTGTCCTTTTCCCATGTTGTTTGAATTGGGACATATTTGTTGCTCATCTGTAGCTTGTATAAGTTGACAGATCATTTTTTTGCTTAATGAATCAGATATTTGCTCATGCAGCAAAACATATAGATGTCAAACCAAACAGGATCATAGAAACAATGCATCTTTAAAAGATCAAATATGTAAAGACTGTTTTTGCATGTAGCTAAATGGTTTAAATTGATAAAGACATGATTGTTCCTGCCATAAGAGTCATAACAATTATCATCATTCTTTCTCATGATTTTCCTGTTGTGATTTTCCTATTCTTAGCAATTATGGTTCTATTTCTTTCACATTAGTTGTTCCTTGTACTTCTTGTTTTTTCAGCAGCAAACATTAGATATTTGAAACACATCTATAATTTTTCGTTTCTGATTTCAACGTCTTCTCTTTATAGGCCTGAAAAATTTGATGGTCTCCTACAAAGATTGCAGTTTCTTGAAGGGAATAATTTGGCATTCTCAAAGAGTAAATCTGCAAGACAGTTTTTGGCAAGATTGTCTGGCAACATCCAGAAAGTTCCATCTTTGGAATACCAGTTAAAGAAGCAGCAGCTTATCAGAATGCTGGTCAATCTTGGATCAAATAATCCAGTCTCTCGCTGCAACTTTGGTTCTGGTCCATCTGGCTGTTGGGTGCCTTTTGATATTTACATGGAGAGTGCAGTGGATGGGAAGCAACTTCTTATCAAATCAGCTATTGTTATACTTACAGGTAACTGTTCTTGAATCATCAAGAGGTTATGTAATTCATTTTCTTATTATTTGTTTAACTAGTTAGTATATTCATGTAAACAAGACTTTAATGTTCATATACTCATATAGGTATCATTTGTTGAATAGAAAATGTGGAATTTCTCAGGATCGATTTTATTTGATGTCATAATTGCAGAAAAAATTTACACTCTCAAAATGTTTAACCGGGCAAGTTGGCAAGAAACCTTCCTAGCACTTTGGCTTTCGGCCCTTAGGCTTGTTCAGAGAGTTGAGTTATTCCACCCTAACAGTTTCTGTTGCAAATAAAGAAACAAGCATATCTCTCTTCAATTTCTGTTGTGCTTCTTTGCAGGAGCGTGATCCTCTGGAAGGTCCTATTCCTCATTTAGAAGCCCGTCTTTGTGTCCTTTTGTCTATTGTGCCCTTGGCAATTGCAAATGTGCTGGAGGATGAGGCCAAGTTGCATCCTTCTGTTCAGGAATCTGGTTATGGAAATGGAATGGACAGAAAAGGCTTTGGTGCAAGGAAACTTGCGCTTATTTCCTCTCTCCAGCTGCTTGGAAACTTTTCTGGTCTCTTATGCCCCCCAGCATCCATTACTACTGGAGCTAATAATGCTGCTGCAAAAGCAGCATCTTTTATTTCCATTTCCAAGAATGCCAAGGATGGTTTAGGCAGTGGCTCTCCTACTGGTAATTTCTTGAATAAAGGTATTTAAAATGTGTATGTTGACATTTATCTCCCCCCGATCATATTCAAGTCATTATCTTTGTGGGGTTTATCTATTAACTAGTTGCCCTTTTATGCCATGTGAGATAATTTGGTGCTTGATAATTTGATATAATGCTCCTAGGTGGCAACATGATGCACCTCATTGTGGAAGCTTGTATTGCAAGAAATTTGATTGACACATCAGCATATTTTTGGCCTGGTTATGTGCCTTCTTCAGTAGTCTCTCTGCCTGATACATCACCATCTCAGAGGTCTCCTTGGTCCACATTTATGGAAGGAGCTCCTTTGACTGATTCTCTAATAGACTTGCTTTTCACAACTCCTGCTTCAAGGTACAAGGTGAAATTTCTAAGTTAGCTTGTTATAGCTAAACGTATTGATTTCATTTTCTTCATGATTTTCTTCTTCAAGTTTAGCGGAGATAGAGAGATTATATCTTATTGCACTGAATGGCTCATTAGAGGAGAGACCAGCAGCTGCAAAGATTCTATGTGGGGCATCCCTTAGTCGTGGGTGGAATATTCAGGTAGCACAACAGTACTGTAATAGTGAAGGATATGGCTTGAGCTGTTATCTTGAAATCATGTTTTCATTAATATGAATAAGAATCTGGCTCTACTTTTTCTTTCTTTCTCTTTTTTTCTTTTCTTTTCTCTTTTTGCTAAAAAAAATGGTCAAAGAAAATAAGAAGTTCCATCATTTGATATTTGAGTTTTATTGCATTGCTTTAACAGGCATTTTTTTTCAGCATTCAGTGGATCCCTAGCTTCATTCCATTTGAAACCTGAATCATATGGAGTTCATGGCACTAACTAAAAGAAACTTTGCAATTAGTCCCAGTCTCCATTGAGTCTCCATCCATGTACCTAAACATTTATGGTTATGCATTTAAAGCTTGATGGACATAATTTCCCACCACAAACTCTTGTTTTTGACATTTTTACACAAAAGAGTGAAGCACATTTCAGCCTTGTTGAGATTTTATGTTTGTTTGGCAGGAACATGTAGTGAGCTTTGTTGTCAAGCTTCTTTCTCCTCCTGTACCTCCTGGTCATACTGGACCAAGGAGTCACTTAATTGATCATATGCGAATGCTGAGTGCTATTCTTTTTGGGGCTTCCTCCATTGATACTGTCCATATTCTTTCTTTGCATGGTGTGGTAAGTGAAAATTTTTTCTTTTCTTCTTCTTTTCTGTTGAATATTTGTAATGTGACTTGGGCCTTTTCCATACGTATTCCCTTCTGGTTTTGCATCCCTAATCAAGATATTCGTAACCAAGATGTTTTTCAGTTGTAGTTTGCATCAAGAAATCTGGTGGTTGGAGTTGTTTCTTTTTTCTTGTTTTCAGCCAGTATCTCCTATATTGATTTAGATTTGGTGTTTATTATTGACCATGTTATTCAACTCAGTTTCAATCAGTTAGGAAATGCTGAGAATTTTTATGTTGGGAGTGTTCTTTTTCTCCTAGAAACTCGTGGTTTACTAGATTGATGTATCAATTGAGACTTTAACAAAATTATTGATACATACCATCTAAGAATACTTTTCTTGTAGTTTTGGATAATTCTAGTTTTGAGGGTTCATGCTCTTTTATGTAGGTGCAATTTCTTTATTGTAGATGTAACTTTGAATCATGTTGGATTTGGTATGTTTTTAGATCCTTTTTGGTTGGCAAGGAAAAAAAAAAAAAAAAGCTGCAGTTCCTTGTCTATGTCTTCCTTTATCAAGTCTTGTCTTACTCTTATGATGATCCACAATGGGCTTATTTCGTTCAGAAACTTTACCCTGTCATCGAAATTGCATAATATGGACATTGGAGGCACTGATGTGTTCATAAGTTGAAACTGTCTTTCCTTAAGAAACCTTCAGTATTCTGGATGTGGACTAGAAAGACTGTAAAAATATAATATAATATGGTAATTGTGATGGATAGAAGCAGAAAATTTGGAGTGTTGTCTGGAGTTATGTCTTCATTTATCTGCCACATTCATCTCTGCGGACGTGGTGCCCATCCATAGACTACATGAATGAAATTAACTGTCTTAAGAGATTTTAGTATAGCCATAATTTTTTATGGTTGTTTCCAGGAGATTATTGTTTGGCAAAACTCATGATCTAGATCAAATGAAGCTTATATTTAATTCTCTACCGTGTGGGTATCAATTTGATGGTTGGTCTTTTGCTATTTTCTATAGCTCTACCTTTAGTATAGCATCAACTATATTCTGATCTTTTGTGCTTACATAAATTATTGTGAGTTCAGATGCATGCATTCTGATGCATTCAAAGTTTACAAATACAGATCCCTGAAGTTGCAGCTTCTTTAATGCCACTATGTGAGACCTTTGGATCTCTTATACCTACATCTAGTAACAAATCAAGCACAAGCGATGAGCCATCAATTTACATGGTTTTTTCTTCAGCATTTCTCTTTCTTCTGCGTCTATATAAATTCTATA